ACGCGGGCCGCGCCCAGGCGGCAGCTGAGCGCCGGGGCCCCTGCTGACAGCCGGCCCGGGGGCGTCTCCCACTCAGCCCAGCCTCCGCTCAGGAGCGAGGGGCAGAGAAGGGACAGCAGACCCGACTCCCGCTCAGCGCCCGCATCCGTCATCCGCCAGGAAATGTGAAGTCCAACTTGTGCGTCAGAAATGAGGAGGGCAGAGCACTTCGCCAGAGAGGAAACCAAAGGGCTGGAAGCGAGCGACTGCAATGAAGGGCCGGCCCAAGCCCAAGCCTAATAGTAGGCTGGACGGGCAGGCTGGACGGGGCAGGCTGGACGGGGCAGGCTGGACGGGAAGGCTGGACGGGGCAGGCTGGACAGGCAGGCTGGACGGGGCAGGCTGGACGGGACAGGCTGGACGGGAAGGCTGGACGGGAAGGCTGGACGGGACAGGCTGGACGGGACAGGCTGGACGGGAAGGCTGGACGGGGCAGGCTGGACGGGAAGGCTGGACGGGCAGGCTGGACGGGAAGGCTGGACGGGCAGGCTGGACGGGACAGGCTGGACGGGAAGGCTGGACGGGCAGGCTGGACGGGGCAGGCTGGACGGGCAGCTGGCAGGGCGGTGTGGGGTGCAGGGAGGCGGCAGTGGGTGGGCGCCCGCCCAGGGGCCGGGGAAGGAGGGCGCTGCACGGTGCTGGCCCACGTGCAGGGCTGACTGGGACGCGGAGCCGCGGCGGCAATCTCCAGCGGAGCAAGCCACACCTAAGCTGACCGGGGCCAGACAGCGCCCGGTGAGGCAGCACATCACGGGGAAGCGGGGTCCAGCCCGGGCTGGGGCCAGAGCAACAGGCTCCGGGGCGCCAGGGCCCTGCTGTCCGAGAGGCAGCGAGAGAACTAACTCCAGGTGACCCCGAGTCCAGGCCGCACTGCCCCCTCCAGCCACCGCTCACGTGACAGAAACACCTGTAACTGGGCACCGACTGGCAGGGAGGGGAGAGTGGAGCGGAAAGACATCACCGGCCCAAGAACAGGACAGAGGGAAAAAGAAAACAGAGTGAGCGGCACCGAGGGAGCCCGGTTGCTGCGCTGACCGCAGACGCCCTCGACGGCACAGCCCCAGCCAGGCTGGCCGCAGCGCGTGCTGGAGACTCCGCTCACCCGCCTCGGAGCGTAAGGGCAGGGCGGTCGGGGCCAAGAGGAAAGCACCCCAGAAAGCCGGGAGAGCGCTGTGGGGGGCAGGAGCCGCGGGGTCCCCGGGCCAGCTGGCCTCAGGGCCCGGGCGA